GTACTAATATTTTGAATATACGAAGAGCTCATACAAATCACTAAGTGAAAGAATTATCAAAGAATTATCACTAGTTTAGTGAAAAGAAGTATCAGTGCTCAATAAGCTTTTGTAGACTAACACTAATCTTTAAAAAGTACAACTTAGAACAATAATATTTCATTTTATCTACGAAATTGTCACATAGTGAAAAGTTTAGTAATACTCAATGTTTTGCCCAACTGAAGGAAAAATAAATACATCTCGTTGCTGGATCTGTTAATCGTTAAATTTTCTAGGTCACAATTTAACATCAGCATATAGGAACAATTTTAATGTATGGGGCTGGAGTGATGGTAAAATGAGTAGGGCATTTGCCTTGCATGTGGTCCACTGGGGTTCAATCGTGAAATCCACATGGTTCCTTGAGCCCCGCCAAAAGTGATCCCTGAGCACAGAGCCAAGGAGTAAGCCCTGGGCACCAGAACACAACAACAAAATTCTTTTTAATGCACCCATCACTTGATCCCTCAATTCCACTTCTAGGTATCTATTCTGTAGTTGTATAAATGGTGGAAGTCCTACAAGCACAAGAAAGTTCACTGTATGTAATGACATTCCTCAGATAAAGTCTGTAGGGTAATGACAATTCACTGTTATTATTAATTTGCAAGGCAATAAGGGGTGAGAATGTAAAACAATTTCATTTACAAGAGCGCAGTGCATCAAGCGAGTTATTTTCTTTAGAAAGATTGCCTTGGTTAGAAAAAAAAAACCAAAATCACTCTGAGTAAAACTATTGAAAGTAACTATAAATGGAAAATAACCCAAACATCCAATACAGGAGTCTTTGTTAAATACATCATAATAGATTTGAAATAAGAATACTATGCATCCATTCAAAATAAGGCATCAACATGTTTTGATACGTAAAAATACATGATGGAATGTGGAAAATGTTGTAAATAATAAGAAGTACAAGGTGAAAAAATACCATTTGTGTGTGTAAAGAGTGTATGAAAACATAATCAGGCCACTGTTAACTATGGTTACTTTGGGGGTATGGGCTTGGAATTGTGGAGAGATAAAACATGGACTTTTAATCTTATTTCCCTCTGGGTAGCTTAAATTTTTCTATAATTAGTATGAATTACATTTATATTTTTTAAAAAATTAAAACTTGTTTAAAATTGATGAATGCAAGTTAAGAATAGATACGCTGTAGAATAAAATTTTCAGAAATGACTCTGGGTTGCAATTTACTTCAGAAGCTTACTGAGACTATCTTTATACAAAACAAATTCCCATGAAGTCATTTGTGTAAAGCCATAAAAACACATCAGCTTGTTTTCCAAACTTAGAAATCTCTTCTTCTCCCTTAAAAAAAGCCCAGTGCACACCTCCCAAACCAAAATTCTGATTTCTCTCTAGCATGAATATCAAATCTAGGAAGTAGTGAAATCTGGATCCTATTATTGCAGTGTGACAATGAACCAATTCTGATTATAATTATTACAAAGCAGTAAAGGACCAAAAGAACTCTTTGTGTTCAAAGGGATTAAAATATGATAGATCATAGCATGTATCTGATAAAATCTAGGGGCCTATGTATACTTTATAGAAACCACAATTTATATTTCTAAAAGTATGAGCTATTAGGCTTTTGATAGTCATCTGGAATATATTAATAATCATTAACATTTGTACAGTACCATGTAGTTTGCAAAAAACACTTTTATATCCACTGTCTCTCTTAATCCTTATAATGCATCTTCAGAGTAGGTACATTTCAGATATCAAACACTAGACAGAGAAAGTTTACACTTATTCCTCAGATTCATTAAGGAGTGAAGAATAAGGCCAACTGTGCTAGCTGGAGTTATTACCACCACTCTACGCTGCTTCCAAGGCATGGCCGAGCTCAGCCACCCCAGACAGAAGAGTCAGGCGCCTTGTTCTTATTCTCTGTGTTTATTTGCATGATGTTATGCCATTGAGCTGGATGAGCTTAAAAGCAGACCATGGCTGTTGCCACTGTTTGTTAAACATTGCTACTTGGAGCAGGCCGAGAATACAGACAGAAACTTGAGTTCTGAATCATCTTAAACAGGATCAAGCAGGATAGAGGGAAAAGCAATTGTGACGATGTGAATGAAGGATGCTCTTGAACACAGTTTTCCATTGGCACATACATTTTTCTTTTCATGCTGTTCTACTTCATGTGTCTCTCCAGGAAGTTCAAAGGAATAATAAAAGAATCTTCCTTGAAGGTCGAATTCTGATACCAACTTTCAGCATTTCTTGGTAGTCTTTCCTAACAGATGTCTTTCTTTTCCTAAAGCTCTTTGTTAAATGACCCATGTCATGTATTCCATTGGTATTCCTATCCTATGTCCTTCTCACAGCACATAAGCCTTATAAGGGGGAATTACCATGATGTGCTGATACCTTCCATTTATTAAACACTTACTAAACTCTAGGCACTATTGCACATATTGTATACTGTATACTGAATACAACAGAATGTTGTATATTCTCTGAAACATGTAACAAACTCCATAGGTATACCTAATTCCTTTGCAGATGAAGAAACCGAAGTCAAGAATGATGAGTGGATCTTACTGTGGAAGAATTTTAAGTCAGACGAAGATCTGTGTAGCTTCAAAGCCAAGGTTTTGTCCAGTACATAGTATACAATAATAGTAATGATTGTATTAGCTACTAAAATAAGGTATGCAAGGAAAATATTCATTTTAGAATTGTACATCTTTCTAAATTCACACTCTTTTGGGTGGAGACCCTCCTGGCAGTGCTTGGGGGACCATTCAGCACTGTGTATTGAACCCAGGGTTCCCAGATGCAAAGCATACACTTGATCCCTCTGGGCCATCTCCCAGGCTCAAGTTATATTTTTTAACTGTTAGCATCATATTATTTCTTTCTTGGCATCTAAATGGCTGACTGATGGTCTAAGGTGATGAAATGCAAATCTAATTCAAATCCAGCCCTTCAATACCATTTCCCTTACTAATTTAAGGAGAATTATGGTCTATAATGGACTCTTCTGTTCAATTTCTCTCTTCACCTGGTCAACTATAAAAGGAAAACAAAATTCATATGGTTATTGAGGTCTAGAAATTAACTTTATTTTAAGTCTGTCAAGAAATCCTGGCAGTTATTAATTTTATTAAAATGAATTAAATATGGCAAAATGAAGAATAGAGGTAATTCTACTATTCTACAACATAAATAATGAGTCAGATTCTCAATTGCTGGCTCAGCATTGTTCAAGATTCCTAAAGGATTTGGGGGATTTTTAACTTCCAGAATGGGTTAAAGTAGCAAAAGAAAAAAATAAGTTTAAAGTAATTACAATTGGAAATATTACCAAGGATGTGCTAATTATTAAATCTTCTTGATGTATTTATAGGACAGACTCCAAGCTTTGGTATTTAAAAATAGTCATGTGAATAGCCACCCTTTATTGGCTTGCCATTTGTATTTTATACTAGAAAAATGATTGCTGATTTTTTTAAAAGATGGTGAAAAAGGAATCATAACTTATTCAAATAAAAACAACAAGCATCTAGTTACCTAACTGAAATGTATAGAAGAAACATTTTATTAAAATATTTAATACTAGAATAACTTAAAACAGTATGAAAAAGAGTGAAGTATTTATCCTTCATTTTCATGGACATGATCATAATTTTTTGGCAAAGTTGTTTTTGCAAAAGACTTCCAAGTTTTTATCACGTACCTGTAACTACATAAGGATGTAAACCAAGTGAACTCATACTTCATCTGATCATACAGTCATAACTTACAATCTTGCTTTGCACTCATTGCAAAGAGCAATTTAGAAAACAAAGTAAATATATATATACAAAATATTTTCATATCAAATTATCTTCATTACACTAAAAATACCCAATCCCCCCAATGCTATGTTACAGGGAAAAGTATCCTACAATTTATATCAAGAATGATATAGTTCATCTGTCAGCTAAAGCAGCCTTTGGCTTTAAGAGTATTTTGCAAAATAAAGAAAATGTCACCACATGGCTGCACTATTGGCTCTCATTCACACTCACCAAAAATGTTTTCCAGTATTAAAAAAAATTACAAAATAGATTACATACCCAGAAAAAACATCCTACCACAGAAGAGTCCAATCTTTTCTACTTCTCTGTCACACACAGGCTCTGTTATGTTTGGCATCCTCACTGCTTATTCAAGTTTCAAGTCTCCCCAAGCTGATTAGAATATTATTGTTTGATTGAAAGAGATATTCTTCTTTCTTTTTATTGATTATTCTCACTCAATGATAGTCTAATTTGAAAACAAAATGTTCCTTTTTTGAATGCATGATTTCACTTAATTTTTACTTTAATGTCGTCCTTGGCAAAATTCAGAGACTCTTCAATGGTTTGCTTTCCATATGTTTTAAATTTTAAAATAAATTTTACATGTGGATATGTATATTCACAGAGATACATTTCTTTCATTGTCTTGTTCTCATGGCAGTATAAATTGCCCATCAGCAATTGTAATTCAAAATGAACCAAATAAAAGATTTTCAGCCATTCCATATGAAAGTTTCCATTACAAAAAAGAAAGAAAGAAAGAAAGAAAAAACCCCACTGAACTCTAATGCAAACAGGATTATGTTTTAAAATCAAACTATAGCTCCACATGGGAAAAGTTGGAGTTATTTATATAATAAAGTTATGAAAGAAACTGCAAAGCTTGAGGAAAAGAAAATCCAAATTACTTCTAAAGGGCATTGCGGTGTTTTCCAGAGGTGCTTTAAAGAAGTTTTTTTTTTTTTGATTATTATATATTCACTGAAATTCTTAAAGATACACATTTAGGCTAACACCACATCTTTCATTTTTTAAGCTTGTAATATAGCTGATATACAAGCGAAGTACATGCATAAATTCTCACTGTTACTCTGAAAAGTACACTGAACAATTTAGAATATTGCACAGGGTTTTTTTTTGTTTTTTTTTCTCCCCTCTCCTTTAAAGGAACATTTCACTTTTAGGCTGAACAGATTGCCAAGTTTTAACATGTGAATTACTGAATACATTTCAAGGGCTTTCAGCAATTATGGTTTCTGTTCTGGAATGGTTAGGTCCATCTGGAATGAGACACACAGACTTGTAAGCATTATGGCATTGTCATTTTGAGGCATAGCCATTTACTATGCCCACGTTGTAGGTTATTTTGGGGAAGCAAGGCACTTAACTGTAATGGCAATGCAGACATTTTATGCATAGTTCGAGTAACATAAAATAAGTTAATAGTTTTGATTAAAGCGAGTTTTTATAATTTATATATCTTTTACAGAAGCAACTAAGTGATATATTTAGGATAATTAAAAATACAGCGAGTTTTGAAAGGAACTTTTTGCCTTCCAGCTTCAGCTCTTAAGATGAGGAGTTATGATAAACACACCGATGTGAAGAACAGAACAGTCATCCATCTGAAAAGTGACAAACTCTTAAAACTGCTGAGCCAGTGGCACTTTGACTGTCTTTACTTCTGCTATATGTGATGACTTCTGAATGATGCAGCTGGTAGTTCCCTGGAGTTTGTTTTTTCCCTGTGCAAGATTTGTTAAGGCCATAGCTGCATTAATCTCCTTCCAGTAAGTATCATCCTTGCTTGGTCCCTTTCTATTAGCTGCACTGGATTTAAGTAAAACAAAAAAGAGAGAGAGAGAGAAAGAGAGAAAGAAGAAAAGATCAAACTCATGGCCGCATATGCAGAAAGTAACATCCACAGAAAACACCAATGGTAGATAGAAATGCAATGCTCACCTCTCACCCTTATTGGATCCATTTTCCAGAGTGTCTGAAAAGAAAAGCAAAAGCTCAATTACTTTCCCCTTTTCTCTTTTTAAAAAATTTTTGCTTGCAAAGTTTGGTGATTATCAGCAGAAATGAGAGTTACGAAAAGACAGGGTTGAAATGTAGTAATTTTTTTTGAAACAAAAATCAAGTAGTTTACATTATGATACAGAAAATAAAAATCTCTTTGCAGGGATGAGAGCAAGTAGGTAGAACTAATGTTATATACTAATAAATTTGAGATTAATTTATTCATGAAGTTGGGCCCCTTCACAAGGAGACAAGAGGTAGAGGGGAAAGAATGTTTCCTGAATCATGTACAGTCTGGCCTTGCCCCATCACCCACCTCTGTGTACCTCTAAGGCAGAGAATGATGCCCCCCACCCCATCTTTCCTTAATTGTAAAATAAGGGAGTTCCTAGAAGATTTTCAATATTTGGCTCAGTAGTCTAATATATTATTTAGGAGAATAAAACCTTCATCTCAACAAAAGGATTTGACAATAGTTTCCTCTGGTTAGCCAACTGAATGACACACGCCATGATATTCCCGCACACCTGAACAAGATGCCATTACCCAAGCACAATCCTCATCTGGTACTGCAGCAAATGAATTAGGAGATGAGCTGTAGTTTCTTCACTCTCAACTTTGGCATAGCTGTGCTTCTCACTCAGAGTAATAATATCATCCAAGACCACGTAAATATAAAGAAAAGGAAATTAATTTCTGACTTTGATTTTGATTAAGCACCTGTGGGTAGCTCCTCTGGCTGAAAGAATCTGGTACTGGGAGGCTAAAGCCATAATACAGTAGATGGGGCGCTTACCTTGTTTGCACCTGACCTGAGTTAGGTCCTGGACACTCCATTTGGCCCCCCCTGAGCCCTTCAGGAATGTTCCCTGAGTATAGTTCCAGGAGTAAACCTTGAGCACTGCCTGGTGTGGCTACCCCAAAACCAATCAACCAGACAACTAAGAATATGGTACTGGAAACACAAAAATTGACATCTCGGAGGGGGAAATAGAAAGGAAATAACAAGGGCTACCAACATGGAGCAGGTAATGGGGTCAGAGGATGGGGTTGGGAGTTCTCATTAGCTTACAAGAAGTAGCCCGAAGCAGACTGAGACTAAGTGACCAACATCATTGTCATCAACAACTGACATTATCTCAAGTAGCTACTGAATGAGGAAATCTGTGCCACTCTCAGAGAGCATAAGAAGTACAATTTTTTTTGGAGGCCCTCTGGTTGTAAGCCTTCTGGAAAGCTGTCTTTTTGGCCCTCTACACTTTCCCTTCCTTTCTCTTCTCCAGTCCAATACATAACTCAAAGTGATTTGCAGTGCTTGAGACTCGTTAAGCTTCTAGTTCCAGGCTGGCAGAGAGTCATGGAACTAGAAGGCCTGAGAGGAAGAACATGATCATAAGACACATCCAATATTTCCCTCGGAAGAAACAGTCAAGAGAAAAGAGTTACATGACATGAAAATTAGCTAAGCTCTAACTCCTTCCTCGGAGGAAAAGAATCTGGAAAGCCAGTCAGCACATCCTGACAAGGCCCTTGACGAGGACAGAGCAGTAGGTGAAACTCTTCCCACAGTCCTTCACTGTGGGACCCAGGTTGCTTAAAATCAAAGAAAGAAAAGTGTAGGTAATATTAGTTTGTCCTTTCTTCCTTGCCACAGGGAGCTTAGGTTTATTGGGTTACTCCTATCACAGTGCTCCCATTCCTCTATGTTTATTTGTAACCTCTTTCTTTGTGTTCTTCTTCCCCAACCAGTCAATCACCTTTCTCTCCTAATCAGACTCTGTTAACTTGGAAATGCTGCTTTTTTCTTCTCCTTAAGTCCTTTGCATAGTTAATTCAGAGCAATGTCCTTTTTGTTTAGACACAAGAAGACAAGTAATACTATGCTTTTGTAACTTGGAGTTAATTGACTCTAAATGATATTCACTCCTGGGCTTCTGTTCTCTTGACTTAAGCCTCAGTTGCCCTTACTTCCTGGCACCCCATAAGCAGGGTCACGACGAGGGATTGGAGGATGGACCCGGGGTAAGGTGCATCGAAATGACCCAGGTCAAAGTGCCATAATACTTAACTATAAGTTAAGAACACGGTCATGGACAAATTCTGTCATGATCCAAAAAGTAATAGCTGGATTAGGACCCTGCTAGGGTTAGAAAAGATTAATCTGGCCTGAGCACTGTAGTCTGAAATCTATAGCCAGATGTCCCCAGGAGAGTCACCCTCCAAGCTTAATGTATCTCTTACTGTGTTCATACAAAATAACTAATATTAAGAAGTAGAATTAAGATGTTAGTTAAGATGTTAATTAAGTTATTGGACTAAGGAAAGTAGAAAACCCCTAAGTGGTATTTTGCCCTTGAGCGGAAGAAGGGCTATCATATGTTGATTGTGCTACCAGACAGGGTATGGTGGCTACCCCCAGTGCAGGGAGATGGGGAGAGACTAGAGAAACAGAGACCAAGGCGTGAGTGGGAGTTCAGAGAGATGAGCAGGAGAGACAGAAAGAGACAGGAATGAGGGGCAGTGTGAGACTAGAATGAGGGGCTTAGTGAGACTGGAACAGGCACGTGGGGAGATGCAATAAACGGCAACTGATTACTAACCAGCCTGGCCCTCGTTTCTTCCTAGTCTGCCCATGCCATCAGCCATCCTGGGTGGGGGAGTGGCCCAAGACCACCAAACACAGGTGGCAAGAGAGAGCCTCCTGGGATTTCCTAGTTCCTTGACCTTCCACAGAAATGGAAGGTCAACAAAAACAAAAACTCTCCGTGAATAAATGACAGGGCTGGTGTTGAGAATAAATGAGATAACCTGTCTAGTCCACAGGCACCTGGGTCTGTTAGTGGCTGGATGGTCACTCTCTAGAGTCCTTTCAGGGTCCAAGAGCTCTGGCCCTGCCCAGAGCTAACCTAGCGGGTTAGCTAACCCTCTGCTGCTTTGGGTAATTTGGCAAGTATGAAATTATTCAGTTACAGGAAGAAAAGAATGACAACTTTTCAGTTGCTGAACTCTGATAAACTTTGTTTGTAGATAATTTCTATTGTGTCAGGCACAATTCTGAATACCCTGTGCCTTAACTTATTCTGCATCAGTGGCTTTGAGATATAAGATGCTACCCGAATAGAGAATGAGTCAAGGTCTTTGTTTAGGAGGAAGAAAGCCAGCAACACTGAACATTTTACAGAGAGAGAGAGACAAAGAGAGAGAGAGAGACAGACAGACAGACAGAGACAGAGACAGAGGTTGATTTAGGTCTTTGCTTAATTTTGCCCACAAATCGCAACAATTCTGCTGCCAAAGTGAAGCAATAGGCTATGGAGATATTTATTCAATGGAAAGACTTGGCAAAAGCAGAACAAGTTCCATGAAGCTTAAATAACATTAGGGAAATAACAAAAACATCATTTAGAAAAGACCATGTAACTGATGCTCTGACTTCCAGAAGAAGAGGTCTCACATAAACAAAGGAACCCAGAATGAGATTCCTACCGGCGTCGTCAGGCTGAAAGTGATAACCTCATGGCCAACAAGAGAGGCCTGCGGGATCAAATATGTAACGGCTAACACGGCTCAGCAGGGCCAGACGGAAGTGAATAGAGCCTGCATGGAGAAGGAGGGCATACAGTCACTGCTGGGATGCAGAGCCGGCTTCAGCTCAAATGCGAGAATTTGTCTGTCCTGCAAGCCCATGAAAGGCTGGATGCGGCGAGCAGTCCCCTTGCTGCCTCCTGGAACTTGTTCCACTGAGAAACAAGTTTACTTCAGCCAACTGTGAAATTATAAAATTCTGCTTACTCTTTGGGTGTATGTGTTTTACAGTTTGGTGCCTATGAAAATACCTTTGAAGTGTAAAAACACAGACTCCAATCCCCGTTTGGGTTTTCTTAATTTGCTTCGCGCATTTGCGCAGCAGTGTTTAAAAAAAAAGAACTGAGCTCTATATATTTGATTTCCGAGGCAGACCAGGCATTGTCAGTGTCATTCAGCATGGATTAAATTCCTTTCTTGGCAATAGAAGTGCTCATAAAAAGAGAAGCATTTTGTTTCCTCTTGAATTGACAATGCCGCAAATGTTGCAAGTTCAACCTCAAAGATTTCAAAAAAGCTCAGAAAAAACCAAACTGCTACCTTTTTTTTGGGGCGGGGGGGAGGGAGGGCTCTGTGTCCAGGGAAGTAATCGATCAAAAGATAGAATTTGTGTTAGTAGATTATGCTTTTCCTGTGGCTGCTATCATAGGGGCAGGGTGAAGGTCCTTCGGATGGTGGTGGAAGTTACCAGGTGTCACTAGGATATTTGATGCCCAAAAGGCACCTCCAGAGGGGAATTTGTTCTAGTTTTCAAAAGAACTAGGAAAAAAGAAGATAGTAAGCAGGGACTCTTGTTGAAAATATTTTTGTTTTCAGAGAAAAACCAAAGGTCTATACAGATCTAGTAGTTTGTGGAGTTTTGTTTTGTTTTCTATCTGAAATGAAATGCAGAGAAATGGTCCCATTATCTTACAGAACTGCTATAAAATTTGTCAGAAAATTTACAACTAGCTCACTCTATAAGATAATTTGCATTAAATAAATATATATATATATTTTTCCTTAGGTTCTTTTTCCTCTGAAGTATAAACTTGCCGGCTGTCATAGGGTTCAAATGTTTTGTGTCTTTCTAGGCAACAGTCACTATTAAAATAGTGGGTTTGGAGACCCTTCACCTGTGTTCAAGGTTTTATCTCCTTCGGTCCCTCCCGAAGTAGCACCCCATAATTTAAAAAACAATAGACAAAAGGGTAAAATCTGGATGCTACTGGAAAGAGGGAAATCATAGTTCTGAGCTAGAGCAGACTTCAGTGTCGCTAATTAACATGCAGAGACTTGAGCTGGGACTGCCCTACATTCAGCTCAGCTGTATCTCTTACGCTGCAAGTAGCTTGGCTCAGACACCCTGAAGTCTGAGCTCAAATGCCTTCTTAGATGTGAAGGTTCCAA